TTCCAGGAAAAGACACAGAGCCCCTCCAGGGACAGATGGCCACAGCTTCCAGGAAAAGACACAGAGCCCCTCCAGGGACAGATGGCCACAGCTTCACTTTGTGCCATGACAGTGGTGCCAGGACTATGCATGTGTGAGGGTGTCCGCCGATCCCAAAGCTTCTGATACTCTTCATATTCAGAAGTGTAAATGGCATCTTCTAGGACTGGACGTTTGGAAGCTCTTGAGTCTCCCAGTCTCCAGGGCAGGCTATGAGTACCAAAGAGAATGCGGAAACCCTAACCCAGGCCTGGGTCAATATTTCAACCAAACGCAGCAGTTATGAACCACGGTGCGGCAGGCTGATTTAGGGACTACTGATCTGTGTTAGTTCTCCCACTATCTGCCCCTCTGGCAGCAGCCAGGACTCTCTAATGTGCTTTGTCCATCGGGGCAAACCCGAGCCCAGGGAGGGCTGGGTGATAACTGCACCACCAGCAGGACCACGGCAGGACAACAGCTGAGCGCCGCAAGCAGGGCCCGCAGCACTGTCGCACGGCTCCCTCACTGCAGGGACCGCAGCGCTGCCTCGCGGCTCCCTCACTGCAGGGCCCGCAGCACTGTCGCACGGCTCCCTCACTGCTTGCAGTGATTCGGTGAGCTGTCAGCACCCACGCCCTGTAACAGTGGAAACCGAGGCACACAGAAGTGAGGAAAAGGGCGGCATCCTGGAGGGAGGCTGCTGCATTAGGCAACCTGGGGACCAGGGAGCTGGTCAAAAGGTCCACGAGCTGTGGGCATCTAACCCCACTCCTTGGTAGTGGGGGGTCTTCATGGGGAGCAGCACCCAGAATATCACAGCAGCACCCTGGTACTGCCTGGGAGCTGGGAACTTTGGAGTCACCTTGGGGTGAGGGCTGCTAAGGGCAGCCCAATTTGAATAACACTGGCAGTTTAGGGGTTGTGAAGCCAAATCAAGGTGATTTAAAGAAAATAAGGAAATGTACTATTTCTCGTACACTCGAAGTTGCAGTGGGAGCTTGTTGCTGGGCACAGGCCAGAGCTTGGAGCCAGGCAGCTGTGCACAGACACTGTGAGTGTTAGGAGGGCAACAGGCTTCGCATCTCCGGCCCGCTTCCTCCTGTTTGGTCTCTCGCAGCCCTGAGCTGCTGTGCTTCTAATGACTATTGGGATTTGAGAGGTGTTGAACAGAGGGTGACTTTACCATTACGACTGATAAACCAGCTGTGCGTCCCAGCAGTGTGGAGAGGGCAGGACCTGGGTAGAGTGCCCCTGGTCTGGTGAGCCGCAGGTGGGGTCTGAGTTCCCACCTGTCTGGATGAGGGGCAGGGGCGCACAGCCCACACCCACCCTCTTTGTCTAGGTGCAGAGACAGAAGAAAAGGCTCAAAGTGCTCGGCCTGTGAGCTCTGGCCCTGGTGCAGCAGATGGGGAACTATGGGGACCATCTGCCTGCACCTCTGGGTAAAAGTATAAAAAGAAACCAGGGGAACAAAATCAGAATCAGGATGGCCCCTGTGTCCTCCTCTTCTCAGATGACGAGGATGAGGCAATAATTAGCTGAGTGCTGAGAATGGAGGTGGAGGCATTGACAAGCCCCTGCGCCCACTTGGTGGGAGGCAGCTCCCAGGTGTGCAAGATCCCAGGTCGCTAACGGGGTCAGGGGGCTGCACTGCCAGGCTGGCTGGGGTGACCGCAGGCTCAGGGATCTGTTCTCTAATCAGAAACGGGCTGTGGGAGCCAGGGGGCAACAATCCAATGACCGTCTGGATGTCAAAGCTCCCCTCCAGCCAGTTGGCTCCCAGGGGCCAGATGTGAGGGTGGGAATGAAGGACAGGTTTGAAGAATAGCCTTCTGCATGGCCCTGGCCTTCCAGGATGGCTGAGCTCAGGGGAAGGAAGATGAGGAAACAAAGGCCCAGGAGAAGACTCTGATAAATGAGTAAACAGGGTTGGATAACCTTTCTGATAACCTGTGAGATAACAGATCTGTTCAGGAAAGATGGGTTTACTGTGCTTCAGGAGATCGGGGAGGACGCTGCAGGTGTGATTAAGATGCCGCAGGACAGAGGACAGAGCACCCTCAGAGCACACAGCGGTACCCTCTGCACTCTCCTCGCTGCCCTCATGCGGTCTTAGGTTGACAAGTACCTGCTGAGTGCTGACCACCAGTCCCCGGTCATGGTCTCCCCGTTGTTTGGGGTGGTCTGCAGGGCATTCCTACTGCAGGACGGGCTCATGGGGATGTGTTCTGAGTTCTCGCCTGTTTGTAAGTTTTTGTCCCATATTTGAAATTAAGTTTGGCACAAACTCCTAGGACTTTGTTTCCTGCATTTGAGCATATTGAATATGTCAGTCCGTTTACTTCTGGGGTAAAATGTTGCTGTTGAAAAGTCCGATGATGATTCTTTGTAAGTCATGTGGTCTTTTTTACATAAATGCCCAGAGGTCCTTGTATCAGAGTACGTCTTGGTGTGGGTCCATCTGAGTCCATATTCTCAGGTACACCATGTGATCCTTCGTTAGGTGGTTTCAGTGTCTTTTAAAAGAAGGTTTTCGTGAATTAGACCTAAGTGTCCTTCCCTTTGCTTCAGTTTTCTTCTTCAGGGACTTGAATCACCTCTGTTAGATCTTCTTTGTCCATCTTCGATATTCCATATGCTCTTTTGAATTCTTTTAATCCCTTTCTTCATTTCTAGCTTTACTTCTAAAAATTTCTGCCTTTTCATTTATTTCTCTTAAAGCATTATTGTCTTATTTGCTTATTTTCATTATAATTTAGCTTCTTAAAAATAGTTTTTCCCTTTATTGATACTATTTCTTGAGTTGTGTCACCTGATTTCTAATGCTATCTTATGCCATTCTTGTATGTCCTCTATAACTTTCTTATATGTCTTCTTATAATTTTCTTACAGTTTATTTTGAAATAATAAGTCCCAGTATAGATCTTCTTGGCAGGGATGACTTTTGAGACAGTCCTTTTTTTTCTTATGATAATTGTGGAGGATTTAACCTTGAACTTTTCCACTGCTTACAGTGATGTGAGTTAATATTTCTATCTTTTAGAAGCCAGTGTGGCTCAGGTAGCTTTTCTAGTTCTGTAGATTTCCCTCTTCTGCTGTTGAGAACGTGGTGGCTTGATTTCTGGGATGTCCTGGCTCTGCTCTCCTCCCCTCATTTCTTCTGGACCTTTTCTCTCTGTTTCATCTTTATTTTCCCCATCCTGTTCAGTTTTGATTACGCTGCCAAGAGTTTCTTCTCAGTACGGGGCTGTGTCAGGGCAGGGACTAAAGCAGGTCACTCCTGATGTAAACTGCTCCAGCCCCTTCACACGCTCTTCGTCTGGGCCCCTTTGCAAATGTTCACTCATCTGATACTGAAGTTGGGAAAGCCTTGCCCAGTTCCAGAGTCAGTTCTTAACTTGGCCCACTGCACTTTCCAGCTGGGGGTTGGGTAGGGTCTTCCAAAGTCCTCAATGGCTTATACTTTGGGGCTCAAGGGGGGAAGCTGTCACTTAGTTTGGGGCTCGGGGGGAGCCTGTCTCATTAAATGTTGCCTGTGGGTTTTGTTTTTGTATGTGGGGATTTGGGAGGGTACACTGCTGTCCTTCAAGCTAAAGATGTGAACTGGAAAGAAGTAAGGAAAATATGGACAAGGTCCGAGTATGCCATTCTGGGGAAATCTGACTGATTACATGAGACTGGGCCACTCACACTCAGAGTCTCTCTGAAGGAACTGACCCTGCCAGCTTTGACTTTAAGTATCTTAGAGATGCTGCCCAGAGGCCGACAGATCACTGGAAAAGTCCGAGATGGATGAGAAATTAATAAGTTAGGAAACCAGCCCCCAAA